TTTTTTCTAAAAAAATAATGATAAAAATATAAATAGCAAGTAATAATATTTTTTATTTAAAGAAAAATAATTTAATTACAATTTGCAGAAAAATTGAATGCGATTTATTTATTAATTTATTTATTTTATTTATTTATTTATTTATGTTTTTTTTTCCATTATTTTATTGTATTTATTTATTTTATTTTATTTTATTTTTATTTTATTTTATTTTATTTTATTTTATCTTATTTATTTTATTTATTTGTTTACTTTTATTTTATTTATTTTTTTAATGAATCTAACTTTAAATTTTTTCCCCATTAGCAATTTCTGCTTTAATCTAGTTCAGTAATAAGTCCAAATACTTGCACTCGCCTCGAGCATTATACAAAAAACGAAAAGATAGAGTATAGCCCACTGTTCGCATTATCTTTGGCAGGCTGCTCTTTTTCATTATGAAATTATAAATATTTTATTTAATACCGAAGCGAGGACAGCGCTGGCTGTAGAGCGGGAGAGAGATAGAGGCAGAGAATGAAAGATGGAGAGATGGAGAGCAGGACAGAGCAAGCTGTAGGGGCCAAGGGGCCAGTAGTCTGTGTATTAAATTCCATTGCCAATTGCAGGCGACTTTGTTTTGCTGCCAGCTACGTTTCAATTTTAAATGAAACATAAAATTTCACTTGCACGCAGTGGTGAAACGAGAACCGAAAACCAAAAAATAAATATACGTGTGTGAGCGTGTGTGTGTGTGACTGTGTGAGTGTGTGTGATTGTATTTGCGAGCATTTCAATTGAAATTTACAAACCGCTCGAATGACCTTAAGCTACTTTAACATAAGCTGATGGGCGTACTGGGCGGTGGGGGCGTGCCAGCGACAAGCCGCACAATAAAAGCAAAAGTAATGCAGGGAAAATAAAAATGGAAAAGAAAAATGGAAAAATTGTGAAAATTTCATAAAGCAAAACTCAAACAGCGCCGAAAGTTAAGTAAAAATGTAGGTAACCAATGGCTAGGGGCTTTTCTGGGCGCGGACAAAAAAAAAAACAAAAAAAAAGCCGCCCAGTAAAAGTTATGGCCATTTTACACACGCACACATACACACACACACACTGTGTTGAATCGCCTTTTGCCAGGTGGTTTCGGTCGTGGGGCTTATTTGATTTTTGCTTGAGTTATTACACAACTGGCAACTGCATAAACAGGGCAGCCGCAACGCCTCCAGCATATAAATTCAATTTAAAAAAAAAAATATATATATATATAAACATACATATATATAAGTATATAGTATCCATATCATATTTCTCAGTACGAATTCTGCTGAAGCTGTTTTCTTATTATTATTATTATATATATTTTTTTTTGGCAGTTCAAAGAAATTTTGCTTTTTATTTATTACTTCTTAAAACTAAATACGAGCTTCAGTATATATAATAACATAGTAATAAAAATAAATATAATAAAATATAGTATCATTTTAATTTAGTTCTACAGATCAATTGCGTATCACATATAAATAATTACTTAATAATATTAGTGCTTAAACCTTATTATTATTATTATTTTTTTTTTTACATACATATATCATAAGAATAATCATAATTTATAAATAAATGTAGAAAAAATACTTATACTAATATTTTAAATATTAGTGAATAATTGTAAATAATTTCAACTAACATAAATTATAAAAAAATAATTCTTTATGCGTATAATATTCAAATTTAACAGCTTTATTTATTCTTTGCTTTAATTAAAATGTAATAATAATAATGTAATAATGTAATAATTTAGTTATTTTTATTTTATATAAAAACCTAATTATCCTTCAATTCATCTATAAAACAACTTGATTACAATAAAACAATAATATTATTATTATGCACTTTTTAGAATTTGTTAAGCGTAAAGAAAGAAAATCAATGAATAAATCGCTCCCTCATAAATTCTTCCATCTATTTTCAATCATAATTTCAGACATTTTACATATTTTATATTGAAATTGGTCATGATAGGTTATTTAATACAGACAAAATTCTAATTATTTCCGTTCAATAAGAGGAGAAGAGTTTTATATTTCATAATTATAATTCCATTAAATTATATTTCCATTTATTTCGTTTCATTTATGCAATATATAACTGAATATATAGTTACATAAATGCTTCAATAATAACGAAAACCTGTTCACATACAATTTATTATTGGATGAAACACCCTGGCTACATTGAGTTGTTCGATTCGAAAAATCGAAGTATCGAAAATGTTGTCAATTTAGTGTCACGGCATTTAGCTGAATGGAAAAGAACAAAATTTCTGGGTTTTTTTCAACTTTGTAGTTTTATAGCAACTATGCTCAAGTAAAGCTCTCAATGATACTTTGGTTTCTTCACGGCAACAGGACTCGAGGAGCTCAGTAACATCCTGGCGCAGTTTGGCACAGAACAAATAATTTCGTGGACCATTTTAAATGGCGACAGCGCCAAAGAGAAAGGGTGACCCAAGTGAGTATCGATGGCTATTTAAAACTGAATAAGCTTTAGCTATATCACCCACATATACGTGCATTGCAGTTACCTCAAACTCATCGCAAGATCTCGTCACCGATCAGGCCTCGGGTAGACGCACGGAGCAAAAAGTCTACACATTTGACACCGAGAAATCGGACCAGGCCAAGCCCGCCGCCCCAGCGCCGCCTAAGGATGAGAAGGTCAAGGCACAGAAGACGATCCTCGAGGAGCACGGCATCATCCTGGGCAAAGTGATTGGCACGGGCAACTATGCCAAAGTGAAGATCGGCTTCTCCGAGGAGTACGGTAAGCGGGTGGCCGTCAAAATTATATCGAAAGTGAAGGCGCCATCGGAATACACACAAAAGTTTCTGCCCCGCGAAATTGAGGCTGTGAAGGGACTGCATCATGAGAATCTGATAACATTCTATCAAAGCATCGAGACGAGTCACCGGTAAGTCTGCGAGACTCGACTATAGACTGGAGATTCCTATCACCGTTCCCCTGCCCCTAGAGTCTATTTGATAATGCAGCTGGCAGAGAACGGCACTCTGCTGGACTATGTGCGCGAAAAGAAATTCCTGGATGAGCCGCAGTCGCGCACCCTCTTCAAGCAGCTGATCAGTGCCGTGGAGTACATACACAGCAAGGGCGTCGTGCATCGCGATATCAAGTGCGAGAACCTGTTGCTCGACGAGAACTGGAATCTGAAGCTGATCGATTTTGGGTTCGCACGCAAGGATACGCGCACTGCCGAAAACCAGGTGGTGCTCTCAAAGACCTTTTGCGGGAGCTATGCCTATGCCAGTCCAGAGATTCTAAAGGGTATATTCATATATTAATATATATTCATATATATTCACATATTCATATATTCATTTCTCTCAGGCATTGCCTATGATCCTTTCATGTCCGATATCTGGGCCTGTGGCGTCGTCTGCTATGCGATGGTCTTTGGCCGCCTGCCCTACGATGGCTCCAACGTGCACATTCTGCTGAAGCGCATTAATCAATCGCTGGTGTTCCCCAAAAATCCGGTAGCAAGCAGCGAGTGCAAACACATGATCATGCACATATTGGCCCCCGTCAAAATCAGGTACAATGTGCCCCAGATTAAAGAAGATCCTTGGCTGTCCTCCAAATAATTTTCGCTTCAGCCCAACACTCGCTGTTGCCGCAACTATTCAAAATACTTTTTTAATATAAATTTTTAGTCAATAAAACTGCACAATTAGACCGAAATGAAGTGTGATCTTTCTACGAATATTAACTGAAATATATTTATGTATGCAATATTAAACATAAAGTACAGTTCATTTCAGTTGCTCGAATGTTAAACGTTAAAGTCACATGTCATCATTATGTACAGACTAAAGACATTGTCCCTAAGATTCGAAAGATAAATCGAAAGCTATCAAATCGTAGTCAGTTGATGAGCCCTGGTAGAAGAAACTGCTGTCCATGACATCTAATAATTATAAACATTAATTATTAATCATCAACATTTAGCCTAATCAAAGATATGTGTATGAAATAATCCGATTTACTTTCCCTGTCTGTCTTCCTGCTTATCTCATACTCCTGTTTGTAAAGATCACTTAAGTTGTCTATGTGTAGGCGCATCATTCATTTGGTATTTGTACTTGAGTAAAACGAAGCTAGTCTGCTCGCAGTAGCAGAGAGTGCTCACATTGCTCTACAATGAAACAATGAGTGAACGTTGCCCTATATAAAGGGCAGCAGCTAGTGCATTTCCTCAGTCACCCAGACTTGGTGGTAAAGTGAAGTAAAATGTGTAATCGTTCAGCAAAGCATTAAAGACTTGGAATTACATATGAGTAATACAAGTGGAAGAAATACTGAATACCTGGAAGAATGACAGAGGAATTACTTAGGGGAAATACTTGAGGAAATGTTCATAAAATCTAAAACATATATTTTTATAGTTTTTAACAAATGTTTTTTATGCTTGTTAG